TCATGCACCCTGTCGCTCTATTCAGAAACACATGCGGAGAGAGAAGTGGAAAGAAAAAATACATTTAAGATAGAGACTCATCTGTATTCTGCTGCACATCACCTTCCCTTGGTCATATTTAGCACAAGTTCCTCACAAAGGCACAATCGCCTAGGTTTCTCTTGCATGGCTGTCTCTCGAAAACAAAACTAAAATACTTAAAACGGCTGCAAAGATAAAACTAGCAGAATTATAATAGGAGACAGCACACAAAAAGCGGGAGAGGGGAGAAAATGATAACAAGTGACTCGATGTCAGGAGTGTCTATCTGCCTCATCTTTTATGTTTACAGTCGGTTTCTATGTGCTGACTATTAAGTGTGTGCATGTCTGCGTTTCTGTGTGTATGTGGTTCTGACAAGATATAAAGTAAGAAATGCTGTGTTCCCACTTTGAGAGCATATAATCACACCCAAACAACTCTGTTGCTGCCTGGAGCTCTGGAGGAGTGGGATGGGAGATGGGGGGAAGAGACGTTTGAAATGAAAGGGTACACACACGTGCAGAAAGCCACCTATTGTACTGCTGATGGTTAACACTTCCCTTGAACCCTTTAGAAATGTTGATTGAGCGTTGTGGTCATAAGTGTTTATGTGGTGCAGAATTGCCTTACAACACGTCATTGTAGCGAGGTAGAAAAAGGTCAATTGCCCCTATTACTTATTACTGTGCCTTTCCATTAAGCTACTTCTTTCTGTGATGTGGTGCATTAATTACTTTCCTTCATCTAGTGCTTCACATAATAATTTACTTCTGCTCTTATTTCCAATCAGTGTAATTTATTTGTGCAGTTTTCCTTAGAGGAATTAAAGGTCTGAGGATATAGTAACTTGTGTTTTTCAAAAGCCATTAACCACTCTTAGACAAATGTGAACTTGGGCTATATCATTAGAAACTACTTCGCTAACAATTGTCTTTTCCAAAATCCTTCAAAAACCGTTTAGCGTGTTTGACTTCACTGATAATAATCCAGTAATCATTTAACTACCGTACTCTTCCTGTGTTTATTTTCTCACATTTAGTTTTTTACCTCCAGCTTAAGTGTTTTGGGCGGCAACCAGTTTTATCAATTATTCACATGACATTTCAGGGTACATTTGTCAACATGTTTATTCCAGGGTGCTTGGTGAATATAAGATCAGCATGCCCCTTGGTACAGCCACTGAATGAGCCTCTCTTGCCAAACTTACACCGGCTGTATTTGTGTGTGTCTAGCTGTTCTCATTCACAATACTTACATCTACGAAAAGTAAGGCACTCATTTTCATATATTCATATATGTAGGACTTGCATAGCTGCCTTTAAACAAGTAAGGGGGCGTAGTTTAAAGAGCGTCTCAGGGAGGAAGTCTGAATGGATAGATGGTAAAACAAAAACGTTCCCCTCCGTGGAGAGCTCTGTCCGAGTCAACATTTACTTATTTAAGATGCAGGGGGTTACGTTGGCGCCCTGCTCACTCGTCTTGCTGGAAATGTATAGGACAACGTACAATAATGTTTACTTTTCCGTAAGATACAAACTGTTTTAGAAGGATTTGTTGAGTGTGTGTGTAGGAGGAAATCTTGCAGTACAGCAGCATGTAGACAGTGCGCAGCTGGGATCTGTTAGGGATAGACTGTGTGTGCGTTTCACTGAATGTATAAATGTCTATGAGTGAGTTGTGCTGTGTGCATGTGTGTGTGTCGGCAGGTTGGTCATGCAGTGGAGCTGGTGGCGTCTCCTGGGGTCTTTTCGCAGTAGGGCAACACAACAGACCCTGATTCCAGCAGCAGTGAGCAGATGGCTGAGTGTGTTAGCATGCCTGCACCGTGCCAGGGGTCAGTGGGGGATGTTTAGCCAGTCAGGAGGCAGCGCACCTCCAAATGAGATCCCTAACCTTGTGCTACTTAACATGACACACTTTCCAATCAAGTGATACATGACTTCTTCACCTCCCTTTTTAAAATGTCTATCATCTTACCAGGTAAATTATTTACATATATCTTAAGTATAGAAACTCTTATGGTTCTTTAACCCATGCAATCAACTTGTGCCTGGGGACTGGGGACCTTTCTCCAAAAAAGGAAAGAATTCCACAATTTGTTGTTACAAAAAATAGATTTCTTTTCTTCCATCCATGGAGATCGGTTGCATCTATTCCTTACATCCGTGGACACTGTGTGTTTCTAGCGTGCACTTTATGTTGCTATGAGGATAATACATCAGCTTCTTCACATTGAGCCTTGAAGAGGAGTCTTGGTTGCAGTGCTGGGTTCTCTTAGCATATTTTGTTATGTTCTTGACTGGAGTGCAAATTACATGCTCAGTGAAGTGATGTATTTTCAGAGACTTGTCAAACGAGTGCTTATGATCTGGACATTGAGAGGTTTCTTCTGTGATTTATTTGGGTTGGGTGGACAGTTGTTGGTGAGAAAGTTGCTTCTAGAGTTGCCAAAGGGTGGGGCATAACAGTCATGTCAATTAAATGATTGGCATAGAGGTCAAGAGGTGCTCCTACTTATGACCACAGCAGGTCATTTCCATAAAGATACTCCATGCCATAATGTAAAGAGCTGGTTGCCCTCTGATTACAGGAAATATGATATGTCTAACGCCATATTGTTTATATTGATAATCATTCCACAACTATGTACGGTACTAGAAGGTTTTCATAATCAATTCCCTCAAATGTTCTGTAGAATTCAGCTAAAATTAAAAGGCAAAAATAATTTTCAAAGAAGAGCCAAACCTTCAGTTTCTTTGTGTGTCTTTCCAGGAAAACCAATAATTCACTGTAGCTCTCTAATGAGTCAGTTCACACTCCAGCAGGCAGGAAACTTTCAGGGAATTTATTCATGTTTGTATTCCCTTGTAAGATAAATATCCCATCTTCCCCTATGATGAATGCAGGCTTTTGCCTGTGGTCGAAAACCTGAGAGGAAACACATAATAAAAACTTGGCATGCTGCAAAAAGAGACAACCGTTGGTTTGATGGAGGGATTACATTGTGTATCATAGTTGCACAGACAGAGTGACATACAAGAGTAAACTAACAGACTTGGATCAATAAATCAATTTCACCCTCTCTTATTCAACTCTCCTACTTCCCTGTAGAGCCTTTTCATCTTCACAACCCCTCCAATTTTGTCTTTCTCTCTCATAGATAAGCTTACAAATATTTTAGACTGCAGTACATAATAGATGCACTTTGTATACCTGCAGTGAGTGTGTGCCTCTCTGGGCTTTGAGCCACTGGAAATGGCCGTGAGGCTGCTGAACTGCGCCATTGTTGCCTTTCCAAAGGGTGCTCTCTAGGTAAGGTCAATTATTTGAAGAGAATGGGGGCCGATAAACAGCTGCTAAATACCACTAAGCTTCATAAAGCACGTATTGACTGTCAGGAATTAGCATCTTAGGGAAAGCACATGAAATGAAAATAAAAAATTGTCTTATGGATTGTTAGAATAGTCTTTCAATCGGCCTTGAAACTGCAGGAAGCTGGTTTATTGTACTGAGCCTAGGCAACAGATCGTGTCGGATACCTCCAATATCAGAGACATTTCTTATCTATTGTTGGATCCACTAGCAGCCCATGTGTGCTACTCACACAAATGATGAGGTGAGCGAAGCTCTGCCACTTCCTCTGACTGTCTTTCCTAAAATCTGCTGAATGCAGCTGTTTGATACAGATTGGCAGACAGAACATGTTCTAGTGAGTTTTATTAAGATTAAGGGATCTTCAAATTGGCAGTGTTTAAGAGAGTGTCTTCTTTATTATATAATTCTCATAGTTTCTTGTGTATTTAGTGATTACATATGAACATGTACAGTATAGCCATTAATGAAAACGATTACTTTAAAGTGAAAGGCACAACTGATTTATGATCCTTAAATATTATGCTCCTTAGAGCTTCAGAAATCTTCACTACGCTGGGTGTCGCTAAAATAGTTTGGTGTCCACAAAAGCTGAGATATAGTTATTTTTCACACATTAAGCTACAATTATTGTTATAATTGTTGCTGCTCAACATAAAACTTGTCCAACAGTGTCTTTGTTTTTCAAAATCACAGTAAACATATAACAACCCCCACTTTCTTTTCAAACTAGTTTTTCAGCTCACTGTGAAAACCCACAACACAGTTTCAACTTTCCACTCTTAAATACTTTACACGACATTTGGTGGAATTTGTGTGCCCTAACTTGCTCTTTCAGAAGAAAGAAAACCTGCTTCCATTGATATTCTGTTACTTTGTGACCAAAAATGTGCTGAAGTCCCTTGTGCATGCTGAGCTGTTCTAGACAAGCAGGCTGACGGAGGCAGAGCTGTGGGCTAGGAAACGGAGTAGAAGGGAGATGACACTGTGTGAGCCTGTGAGATCCTCCCATGACAGTCGGCCCCAGACGAGGAAGCCAAGTAAACAACAACTTGAGCCTGGAGAAAGAAATAGAAAGAGAGACAGGAGAGAGCTCAGGAATAATAGGACACAGCATGGAGGGGCTTCCGGAGAGGCTAATCAGTTTGGCATGATACCCATGAAATACTGCACCATAGAGAAAGAGGAAGCGAGAGATGCTTCTAGTCGAAACAATATCATTCTTATCCTTAGTCTTTAGAAAAGAAGTCCATTGTTGTTTCTGCCTGAGAAGCCAAAACCCAATAGCATGTGATTGCTATAGATGCCGCAGCAGTGAAACAACTATGTTTACTCCCTGTATTGACTTCTGAATCACATTTTTATGCCATTTAAGCCTAAGGGCACATAGACCCATCACCCAGTTTGGAGTAGGCAGGAAGAGAAATGAAGAGCCATTAGTTATATTGACCATATTTACTGATCAATATCCACTTATGATTCTGATACTGGTACATCTGGCTGAAGTGGCTCCTGCAGTGACGCTTTCTTTTCCCCTTTTCTCTCTCTTTATTCTGCCCTCTTTCCTTCCTTCCTTCCTGCCATTTCCTGATTCTCATCTAATTCAGAGGGTCTCTACCAGCTGGGAGGTCCTCGCTGTGCCCCTCAGAGCAGCATTGATGGATTGGAGGATATAGAGGTAGGATCATTATGAAGCCCAGACCCTATAAAAATACCCACAGTTCTGCTTGTATGTAACACTCCTTCTTTTATCGTCCTATATTTTTCGTTTTTACAACCCTACCTGAACCCTTTTGCAGAGAAAATGCAAGACGCATGTGCTGCTGCTAGTGGTGCATGGGGGGAACATTTTGGATACAGCAGGTGGAGACCCGAGCACAAAGTCTGGAGATGTGGACACCCTGACCTCCGTGCTGGAGAAGGTAACACGGGGACATTTCCAGGCTGCTGCAGAACACGTGAAGATAAAGCTGGTGCCATGTCCCGCTGTCTGCGCCGAGGCCTTCTCCCTGGTGTCCAAGTGAGTGCTGTTAGCTTGACAGGGGGTCTCATTAGCCCCTCACACACCTGCGTTTACAAGCGTCTCACATGGATAAAATCGATATGTGGTTTTAAAGGCTTTCGTTTACCTTAAGCTGCTTCACACTCGCACTCCTAGATCTGTCTTTTTCATAATTGTTAACATTGTATTATAAAAGAATCATGAAGATCCCTCTAGTGTAATTCTAAAGGTTTCAGTAATCTATACAGCTAGCATTAAAGCTGCTTTAATACACTTTATCCACTTTATTTGTAGCTTAGCCCCCCCAACCCAATCCCTTGGTAGAAGGAGGATCACATTATCCCATTTGAAGTGTGACAGGTAGTGTTCGCACATCATTTATTTCCCAAAAAGTTTCAGGAAAAGGAAGCACCTGTTGCCCTCATAGACACACATTTAGTAAAGGAATAATTGGAAGTGCATAATTCTCACAAGGTATAATGGGACTAGGGTTGCGGTCAAATTGCACAACAAAACGCACCTATCCTCTTTTCCTAACCACTACATTATTTCTTGACCTCTGTGAGAAACGTCACGGGGTTAAGGAATAGTTTCAAAAGGATTTAGGAATAGACGACCGGGCTTCAGAGAATCCGACTGCACTTACACTTTTGGGGCAGCATTTTCTCTTTTCCTTTCGTAAAGAAAGGTCCAATGTTTACTAAGCTAAAGGAGGTTATAAAGGAAGTTCCAAAGCTCCTTTCCTATCATCTCGAGAATTCAAACAGCTCTTATCATGGTTGCTACTTGGGTACTTTCGGGTCATTTCACTCAGTTAGAAACTTTCCTAGGGTTAACTGACAATTGGAACGCAACCTACGAATAAGATGGATAATGGTTATTTCCTTTAAGTTGTCACCCATCTGTATATTTGTTTCCCTGAGCCAGATCTCAAAGCCGATTGCATCAATCATACTTTTCCATTGCTGCATGCAAATATGGGTAGGTGGTACTGCTGAATCTTAACATGAAAAATGCCAGAGGAATTATTTCCATTCTGTTGGGAAAATACTGAATGTACTCTTTCAATATCAGAGTAGCACATGATAACAAAGGTTAACAAAACTGTAACTGTGTACGTAACCGGATGTATGATTACCTAGAAGAAGCTTATGAGACACTGTGTTGAACATACGATAGCTATGTTCCAACGATTACACATGATGACACAGCCCCTAGGGAGATAGGCATATGACTGTCATGTTTATTGCTTATGCAGGCCTTAGCTAATCTGAACTAATACTGAATAAGAATACTGCTTTGAACCGGTATACATGTATCTTGTGACTGATTAACACCCTGTCTTGTATATCAGGCATCTGAAGGGCACTGTTCGGGAACTAGTTGTATCAGCTCTGTATGTGATGACTACTTCCATTCGTGCAAGGATAATAAATACATGTATCCTGTGTCATATACATGTCATTTTTCATTTCAAGGAAAGATCTGGTGAAAGAGCGTTGCTCTTTGAGGGAGTTTAAAGAATCCTCTCAGGGTCAAGGAAAAAAACACATGAACATACTGTAAAATAATAATCATATCAACAATAAGAAAATCTGAAAACATTTCCAAAACACAACAAGAAGTGTGTTGGAGAACAGCACAGATGTTAATAAGATGGAAATTGGTAATTCCACTTAGCTGATTCAGTTTTGGGGTCCTGGTATTATGCCTCTTGACTCGCTGTCATGACTTAATGGGGCAATTGTACTGTGTAACAGAGTTAGTCTTATTTGTAAAACTTGGGCTTTTCATACCAAATATTTAAAAGGTCTGCTGTGAAAATGTTTATTTTGACATCAGAGCGTGATCCGATCTTCTCAAGATGTATAAAATACTATAATTGATAATAATTATGTTAGTTAACCTGGGTCAACCGCATCCAACCGCTTCACTGAATTTGTTTTTATGTTGTGTTTTTGTATTCAACCGACATTCTTACTAGCTTGACAGACGGACACAGTTGCTATAGAGCAGTTATGGTCTGACTGCTGAGGACTTTAATGTTACAGGAGGTATTTAAGGAATCTTAGCAGTATGAATGCATGCCTGCCAGAACAAATATAGCCTTGTTGGCTCAGAGGTTAATTGAGGAAATATATTGACCAAAGAACCCTTAACAGACAGTGCAGTATTAATTAGTATGCTGATGACATTTACCAGCCCCTGCCAGCATGTGGCTATGTGGATTATTTTACTCCTAACCTTTTTAAGCGATGCTGTTTTGAATTGTTAACCCTCCAATGTGAAGGCAGCAACATGATTGGCTAAATCACTTTTTACAGTTTCCTTGAGGCATCTGCAAGGAATTTACTATGCACATATCTGTTTTTTCTATTAAGCTACTGTTCTTTTATAGTCAGGTTTCACATGTGGTATCAATTTAGGGGTGGTAGTTAATTGTGGATGGCCGTTCCTCAGTGATGAACAGCAGTCAGGAGATGATTATCCCCTTATTAAAAGTCATACAGCATTATCTTCATTAAAACTCACAGGTACTTTTCCTTGCTAGAAGATTGCTTTGAGAGGCAGAGGGTTATAATGTGTCTGTGTTCATGCGTTTGCTCTTTTTTTAGTCCTGTCTGCTGCCTGTGCAGAGAGTCGCTTAGGCGTAACTAATGATTTAATTTCACATTTAATCCCACATGTCCCACTGGTCACCAGTTTTATCTTTGACAGCGTCACTTAGTTTTCGCTGCTCTCCAATTATATGCTAAGGATGTTATTGTCTGAATTGTCACTAATCACCGTAGCTGGGAGAATGCGTTTGGCCGTCAAGTCGAGGCTTGTCTGGTTTTGTGACTGACATTAGCAGGAGCGATGCAGTGACTGGAAGCAGGACAAGTGTAAAGAGATTTGAGTTCTGTAGCTTTTCGACAGCTTGACGCCTGCTTAGCTTTCACCACACCCTGAGATGAAATATTAAAAACAACAACTTCCTAGTGGAGTGGAGCATCACTACCTTACTGTATTATTGAAGCCTGCTCTTGCATGTGCATTGTGCACACATTACATTTAAAAGACACTAATTCATATTGAAATGCTATCTCGCAAAGGAACAAAACTGTGTAATTAGGAAATACATTATTGAACAAATAAAATGGTAAATTAAGGAGAATTAAATATAACATTTCAATGAAAAAATAAAAAAATAAACAGAAACAAGTTGCGCAATGTGTAATAATTCCACAGTATTTATGCAGTTTTGAATTGTTATATTTACACTTTCTTTCCTACAGGAGGTTATTTTTACGGAGGGCCTAAAGGGACATCGAAAAAGGAAAAAAAAAGAGAGAGAGAAAAAAATAAAAGTCGGGATAACGGGTTAGTATCTCGTGAGCACGACTTTTTTTTTTACATTATCAGTGTTGATCAGAGGACACACAGCACTGTCGCCCAGGAACCGGAGTCATATCTGATTCAACCCTTGCAACCCAATCATTTGCATGTAGAGCGGAAAACAAAGGTATGCTATAAACATCCGATTATTTTACATTACATTACATTTAGCTGACACTTTTATCCAAAGTGACTTACAATAAGTGCATTCGACCAACAAGATACAAACGTGAGGAAAACAGAATCATATAAGTACATCAGGTTTCATAGAGCTAAAACATTTCAAGTGCTACTCAACTGGTAATTCTATCGCTCGAAGTGGAGTCGAAAGGGATGAGTTTTCAGTCTGCGCCGTATATGTTATTAAGGAGGAATATGTTTTACTAGCATGCTCCTTGTTGCTGCACAGATTCTTTGAGATCTCCCTCAAAAAGGGGTCCCTTTCGAGACTGTTCTGTAAAATGATTTGCTTTAAACTGTACCTAATTTTATCAACAGAATTGTGGTCTCTCCGTTTGTGCATTCTTGTATCTTTGAATGTATTAATTTATACTTTTATAAATCCTTTTTTACATTCTCTCATGATGTAATTGTTCTGTTATAGCCTGACCAGATCTTTGAGGTGGATACATATATTATTATTTGATTGCTTTTAAATATCTAATAAAAAAAATACTGTCAGAAAGTCATTGTATTCTATGTTATGGTTACAATGTTAATTAAATGACCTCAAACCTATACTTGGAATTTCTTTATTGCAATGTATTTTTATATATCTGCTGTATAGCTCATGTTAAAAATCTCTGAAAACAATGAGAAGTTAATATTTGTTTTAGCTCTCTTCAGTGAAATTAAACAAAAGGTACTTGTGCCTAAATGGCTTCAAGTCCTTAAAACTTGACAAATGACAATATGTGCAGTCAGTAGGCATTCATACAACCCACACAGCAGCAAAAAAACACTTATTCACCTTCAATTTGAACGGGCAGCAGTGTTTGCTCTAATGACAGTGTCAGACTTGTGGGAGGAGGCTCATTTATTTGCTTGCCAACATAAACAATGGAATGGCTGGCCCACGGGAAGGAATCACTGCTGTGTGGGTAATTTACTCAAATTCTGGGTAACAGCTTGGCAGAAAATCGCACCGCAGAGTCGAGGTGGCAAAACCTCTTAGCGCCTCAAAAACAAACTTTCACACACACAGGAGACTTCTGTCACAGTGCTTTATAATTCCTTATTTACTGTAGGATGTCCCCATAGAGAATGAATTTTTTTTAAGCTTGTGTCGTCCTTGTTGCTGTGTTGGTGGAAGGCCTGCTGTGCTCCAAGCGCTCATTATTAGCTCTGCCTGCTAATGAACTAACCTAGCACTGCTGGCAAGTAGCTGGGTGTCAAGACAACAGACGGGTGCTGTCCATTTCTTATGCTCGCACGAATACATCCCACACACAAAAAAATCCAACCCTGTCCAATTAACAGCAACAGTAAAAAGTCTCCCAAATTGATTTCCTGTTAAAGCCAGCACACCGCCTTGGTCACAGTTTAACATAACAAATAACAAATAAACAAATATATTGAAAACTTCATGTTAGCAATAGGAGAGAGAAATTAAATGGACTCATCTCTCATTACATTTGGTA